TGTGCCTACCGAAGGGTACGTAATTACAGTTTTACATAATACCGAAATGGCCATCACCATATCTGGTGAACGGTAGTGCTAGTCCATACAGACAACAATTCATTTTCTTAATAAAAATGATGTAATGGTTTTAATCAAAATAGGGGTTTCTGGAGATTGAAGTATGTTTAAAGTTATATTCATGAGTCGGTCTAAGACTGAACATCGTTGAAAACTTGGAAGCACTGGACGGTCGTTTGTGCTCCAGTACGAAACTCTTCGGCAGTGCACATCCACCATATCTCACACGGGATATGAACCCATGACCTCCGATTTTCCGCACAAACGCTTACCTGCTATACCACTGAGTCGGCATCCAGAGGTTTTTAGTTTCCGACTATTAATGGTCAGTAGGTAACATGGACATTTAAGCGGAAACTAGTCAACTCTGGTCTTAGCGAGTACATTAACATTAAGGCATATCATCTAAGAAATACAAGATAAAATTAACCACCCTTCTACTGCTAACCAATATATGTGGTATATTTATTTATTTAAACACACACATATTTTCGATTGAGATCACGAACCGATTGATGTTAGACCACCGTTAGAAACCTGTAAGCACTGAACGGCCGTTTAGTCCTATTGTGGGACTCCTCAGTAGTGCGCATCCATGATCCCGCTCGCAGGAATCGAACTCAGGGCCTTTATTCTCACGCGCGAACGCTTAATCTACTTGACCACTGAGCCGACATCCAATGGTGTTACTGTCTAACATCAACATACATATTTGTATAAGAAGGCATCAAATATATATGCGCCACACGAGTTATTCAATATACGTGAGGGCTGGAATACTGCCCGGGAGTCCAAACCGAAGGAGGTATATATTGTTAATATATTTGTACCGTTTATTATCAGTGTATAGTGTAGAAGCTATTTTTTATTGTTGAGAATTTTCTTTGAATTAAGTAACATTTTAATAGCGTGTAAAGGAACGACAAACGTCATGGATTCACTGAATTTGTAAAACACCAAACTATGGAAGTCAGTTTAGAATAATATAACTTCCTTTATGCAAAGCAAGAACAACAGACAAACACAATTTAGATGAATTTATCTTTTTATTTCGTCTGCCTTAAATCTTCTGCATACACACTGATCTAAATAAACAAATGATACATTTTGTAAATTTAATTCCTTGTGTAACTAGTACAAAGTCGTTTGATTTATTAATGAATCATAAATTTAGTTACTTTTCACATGCATAAAACTTCAATTTATAGATCAAAGAAATAATTGCGGAAGACAGAGACCATGATGTACAAAAAATATGTTAACTGTTATAATTAGGATTGAAGAAGCCATTAAATTGATGGTAGTTATTAAAAAGACGCTCTTACACCAATCAGATTATTGACGATAATAACAATAACAATCTGTATGAGTAGTGGATATTGCTAAATTTTATTGAAATGCCGAACCAAAGTAAAACAACCATTAAAAACATAGAAGCATTGGACTGCCTCTTTGTCTTAGTATTAAGCTCTCCAGCAGCGCGCATCTGCGATCCCGCTCGCGAGACTCGAGTCCAGGAACTTCGGTTTCGCGGAAGCGCTTAAAATTTAAACCACTGAGTCGCTACCTAATGGTTTAATGACTAACTTCAACCAACCTATGGCCATCCTGTTGTATCTGAATGAAGGGAGAATGAATGGTGACTATCATTACATATATTCTTATTGGACAATAATTAAGTAACTAGATTACATATATCTTCATATTCTTATTATCATGAGCTATCACTTGACCTATGGACTACTATTTTATGATACACTGTTCTCAATGTATTTTCAATCTGTTGATTACAGCCTCTTGTACTCACAGTCACTTTTGGCTCAACCATGTATAATCAGTATTTTTAATTTTATTGTGTGATGCGGTCTGGTCTACTTGTATATGAACCACGTCTGTCTGAAATGTATGATTTACACAACGGAGGCTGATGTTTATTTTCTGAACTGGACAAGTTGAGTTAGGTGAGAGGTTACTATTTTCAGAACCACTAAGGACTCAAAGTTGAGTCAAGGCTTCTGGTGCTAGTTGACGTGTAATTGGTGAAGCACAAAGACAAGGTCATAGAAAGTGATAATCTTATTGACGATTTTGTCACATGATATTCAACGGACCATAAGATATAACACGTAAAGTGTTTTTACATTTTCAACGTTTGTCTGACTTAGATCAGTTTATTTCAATAACACTAAATAATAGCCTGAAAATGTATTTAAAACTTCCTTCATAGCAACGTGCAGTAAATGGAAAGAAGGCAATGTATATCATTACTTCTAACTATTCCTGTTCTAACTGAGTGATCCCTTGTTTCTTTACCTCATCATTCTTTGCCAATATAAATTAGAAACGAAATGTTATGAAGATAATCACATAAAAGTTAAGAAATCAAATTTTGATGAATTTTTAATGAGATCTCATGACTAGGGAAGTTCAGTCATACCGTGTTTAGAACTTGCACCGTCGATATTAATAAACGATAATCACGAAATGTCTCAAATCGTTTCAGGTTCATAATATGAACCAGAATGTAGAGCTTTTGAATCTTGTCTCTGATACAGTTGAGAGTGATCACTATTGATTTTTTCATATTTAACCATAGAAACAAATTTTTTTTAAAAATTTCACAGGTTGAAATCATGAGTCGATTGAAGCTAGACCACCATGGAAAACCTGAAAGCACTGGACGGCCGTTTCGTCCTAGTACGGAACTCCTCAGCAGTGCGCATCCACGATCCCGCATCACGCGGGGCTCGAACCAAGGACCTACTGGCTTCGCGCGCGAGCACTTAACCACTAGACCACTGAGCCGGCATCCAACGGTGTTAATGTCCAACTCCAACCTATCCACGAAGTTGCGCTACCGTACACCATTGTTTTCAGTGAGTTATTATCTCACAACAGACCTGGTTGAAGTCCACTGGTAACGTCCAGTGCTTCCAGGTTTTCCATGTTGGTCTAGCTTCAATCGACTCATGATTTCAACCTGTGAAATTTCTAAAACTTTCCACAAAAACCATTCTGATAATTTTTTTAGTTATGCAAAAAAAAACATTCCGGGTTTTTTTTAGTAAAATCACTTTACAGATCATTAAGGCGAACACAAATTTATACAATTTAAATAATACGCTTTTATTCATTCAATTTTAACTTATCTGATTTTATTTTTAAAAATAAACATGTATGTGAATTAATGAATGAAATAATTTTAAACATTTTTATTCTACTCTTTGTTTTTGTATTAAAAGTCACAGAAATAATTCAATGTGTTTGCGTGACTTGATTTGATTACTAACATTCTTAATTTTTTTTTTTAAAAAAAAAATTAAAAAATTCATTATTTTTTCGTGCTTTCGATATTGTTTGTTATTATATTCTCTTTTTATTTATTCAGCAAACAGTTTCCTAGTTTAAACTCAATGTGAAATACAAATAAATGAACTTAAATTTGTTCGTTCCTATATGTATATATACAGTAAACATGTTATAGATAGCTAGGGAGCGAAATTATCGTTTTTCCTTTCCTCTTTGTTATTTTTTTTCTCTAGTTCATTTTATTTCGCCTCATTTTTTGTAAAACAAAAAAAGGAATCCATATTAATACATTTAATCGCCTAAACAGTTATGCAAATAACTAACATTTATTTTAATCAAATAATAATTAATAATCCTTTTTATGATAAACTTTAGTTGTTTACATATATCTCCTTAAATGACTTATAAATTCATGTAAATACAAATAATGATAATAATAATAATATTTATATTGAAAGTTCTAAATGGATATTTCGTAGATATAAATCATAATAAAATAATGTCTTCTTTTTTCCTTTTTCCTTTTCTAAAACAGAATATCATTGATTCTTTTTTCATGAACTTTGTATTTTATTTATTTATTTTTTTTTTTAGAAAATATATTCACCTTAATCATATTGTTTTACTGTTTTAAAATTGTACTTTTAAAGAGGTAATAGTAATTACGATTATATTATGTTCATATTATAATATCCAATAAAAAAATCAGCCAATCAAATTCAAGTAATTGATTAAAAATGCCTATAAATAAATCGATATTTTAAATGATTTAAGAATATACGCTGATATACATTGATTTATTATTCACTATATAAAGTAATATTGCTTATGATTATTATTTTTTGTTTTGTTTTTCAATACTACTTAAATCTAGATGGCCCATCTTAATTTAATCATTTCAATTATACTTTTTTTCCTTTTTTCTTTAATAGAATTATAGTATCGAGATGAACCAGTCAGAATCGAGATGATTTGCTCGTTTTCCCTATAAAGTCTGGGATACATAACTTTTATCTAATATTACATCAAACAACTAGTAGATATACTTTTGTTTGCTTGTTAGAATTTGTAAAATGATGACACAAAATTACTTTTTACTTTCATAGAATACAATCGATAACATTATATGCATCATATGGTCAATTCATTCTGAACAAATTGCATAAAACATGCAAAATAACCCTTTTATTAAGTAATAGCCCTAAACACTTAATCCTTAACAAATAATCTTAAATCTGTAGTCGTATTAATGTGTGAACTCGTAGAAATCCACCAGCATTCTTTTAAATGTTTCAGAAGACAGATAACCTATATTTTTATAAATCAACTTATATATCTATGTTTTTCTTAATTAAAGATAAAACAACCTGTTAGAAGTTCTAGTGGATTGATTATTTATGCAAAGTCTGTCTATCTTTTATAGTGTTACTGTCCATTTTATAAAAAAACAGCTGATTTACTAGAGCTGTTTGTTGACTGACTGGCAATTTGTTAAAGTGTGTAACAGTTGTTTTTTGGTTCATTCCTATACTATAATCCTTTTTTAATCAATTTTAACACTGGATAAGTCATTTTTGTCGCTCTATTTGCTATGAAGTTATAAAATAATACAGAAAATCACCTTTACTTACTATCTTGTGCTAGATTGCCAGTTGGAACCGAATCAAATACGGTTGTGATGTTATATCTATAAGATAAACAAATAAACGATTGAAATCAATTATAGTTAGGGATTTCAAATAGAAACACAGTGATAAAATTTGTTAATACTAAAGGTTTTTTACAGGGAAAATTAAAATGTTGATAAAATACGAAAACTATTTTGACTGAAAAGTAATGTTGTGCTTGAGTTGAAGTTAAATTTGAACACGAATTTTCTGCAAACTGTTGAAAAGATGAGACTTTAGAAAACTTGATGGTATTAGATAACTAAGTGAGTAAGTGATCAGTTATTAATTGAAACTAAAGTATTTTCGTGAATGAAATGCAAAAGAAAACTCCCTTTTGAAAACGTTGAATTTCTGTGAAGCAAGTAAATCATTTTCAAAAAATATTTCACTGATATCTTCTCATGAAAATTTTCTATTAATTTTCGAAGCTGAAAACGTTGAACGCGCTCAAAGACATTTATGTGTGTAACTCCTCAAGAAGACTCTCGTTAAACAAGCTCCAACCTTGCTTCATTGAAAGGTTTAGGTTACGATCTTTTTTCCTTCAGCATTTATTTAAGTCGTTTGGTCGAGATATGAAGAGCATCAAGGACCATTAGTTGAAAAAATAAATCACTGCCACGTTTTTGCAGCATACTAAATTGGATTCCATGCAGTTATTGTGGTACAACTTGAATTTGTTCAGATACTTACCTTCAAATGTATTTAATCCGCAATGAATATCGTCAGCTTGCTAACGTCTCTTTGGAGAACAACTACTCTTTAACAAATACCGTTACACCAAGAAGTTATGTGTATAGTTGGTCTATACTGAATAAAAAACATCCTTATTATTATTATGAAATGGTCAACAGACCATTTTGTATGAATGTAGTGTAAAGTTCACGATTGATAGAAAAACAAAACTAGAGCATCATTTCATCGACTTAACAGATTTCGGAACTGATTGCTAGTCATTATTTCAGTACTATTTATTTTGAAATTTTAAAAACTGTGAATAAATAGGCTGAATGCAATCGAAAATAGAGATTTTCAGAAACAAGGAATGCTTCAATGAACAGCTGTTTTCAGTAACTTCATTATTAATCAATTTCAGTATGTACTTTATAACATAATGCTTACTTCAATCAAACTAGAACGAAACATAGTGTTAATTGCTAGCTGATTTTATCCATTCTATAAGATGCTTATAGTTATTAATGCTAGGTTATCTCAAATTACTCCAAATATTTCAACTAATCCAACTTAGTAATTATTATATAACATTAAATGTTCAGCATCCTATCTTGATTTAAATGAAATCAACTGTAATTAAACGTCTAACAAAAAGTAAACGTTTTTGATTTTTTCTAAATATCTAAATCAGACTTTAATTATGAATAAGACAAGATAATAATTCAAATAATATCAATCATATAAGCTTAGAAAATGATTGCCAAACACCTGTGGTGATGTAATTAAAGATAGTAGTTTTAGTGGAAACTATTGTTAGGATACTAAATAGATAAATATTCAATATTTTCGGCCAAAACGGAATGACTATAAAATTTTCGTAAGACATAGATTTTTTTCTCATGATTACAGACAATGGTTAGCAGTACTTCGGCAACAAATTTGAATTTACTACGAGACACTGATTTAAAATGGAATTTGATCCATATAAGTGTAAGAAGTTTGTTCAAGACACTGTTGCTGATATTCAGGACAAAAATCGGATCAGTCTACTCAGATATTCGAGATATTTGAGTAGTGTTCAAAACGATCTAGACTTTGCAGATGATCTGGTCCTCCTATCGCAAACGCAACAACAAATGCAGGAGAAGACGACCAGTGTAGCAGCAGCCTCAGCAGCAGTAGGTCTCAACATACATAAGGGAGAAGCAAAATTCTCCGATACAACACAGCATGCACCAATCAAATCACACTTGACGGAGATTTGAAAGATGTAAAAACTAGAGAAGAAGGCCTAGGATAGAGTGGGTTGGAGAATGATGGTCAGCGGCCTATGCTCTATTGGGAGTAACAGGTGTAAGTAAGTAAGTAATAATTTGGTCATTGGCTATCAGTCATATCCAAGACGTAGATATCATTATATTCAGAATGACAAAGAACTGACTAACTTTTAAAATAAAAACAAGAGAAATCGAGGGAATTCGTGGCTAAAATCAATATATAAAGAGACGCTCACTCAAGGATCTCATAGTCTACGAAAGACGTTAGCAGTGTAACTAAATGACTAGTCAACTTCATATGACGTTTTTAATATAAATTATTGTAACCGTAATTAGTACACAATACTAGTATTTTAAAAATATGTGTTATCTTAACACAAATCAAAATCAAAGAATGTAGTGTTAACAATCTGTTGTTCGATCATAAATTTTACTCCCAAGATAGAAGTTCAATGAGTAATCAGAAAATATGGCATACATTGATTATGTAACAAAATGTTGGTATGACTAGAACATTTCAAATAAGTGATCATCATATAATTAAACATTTTTACTCGACTTCTAATCTTAAATTTGTATATATAGTCATATCATTTTGTTCGCTAACCCATCCGTCAAGTTTATAGTTTTACATTCATTCAATGTTTTGCATTTCTGACACTTGTTTCCACTTGTTAAGCTATCAGTATATTTGAATTTTAGACGAATGAATTTCAACCAACTTTATTCTCATATGATTGAAAAGTATCACGTAGTTATGTGTTCATTAGTAAAAAAACAACAGCTGTTCACAGCTAAAACCCTATTTTAAATGTATCGCATACATTTGTGAACAATTAAGAAAACTCTCGATTTAAGTAACATGCAAGTTTTCACTAGTCAACTCTTAGTATTTCTAATCTTTGAGGAAATCGATGCTTGTAGTAGGACTTCATTTAAGTTTCATAGTCAATGATATTATCATTGACTATTTTATACACAATCTAATTTTATATATAATATTTTTTTAATTGGTAAAATTTAGAGTAAACAAAATAAGGACTGTTGATTTGATGATAAATGTGCTTACTTATTTTCTTTTTTTTTTTAAATGAAATTTTTTAGAGCATTAAAAAAAAATTCAACTAATTGTTTCCTTTAAAGTAAATAAAACATCATCCATTATACATTGATTTATTTAATGGAGAACAAACAAATTAGGAACTAATTTCTACTAATCAGATACTATATTAATTGTGAAAATAATTTTAATCTGATCAATTTTCAATGTCAGCGTTACTCTGAAATTGCATATGATTAATGTTATTACTTGTTTGTTTGTTTGTTTGTTTGTTATATTTAAACGTTTGTCTATTTAATTTTATTTTCATCTAATAAATTAACTATCTTTTTTTGTTTAAATTTAAAATATGTTTTAATGATAAACGCATTTATGCACAATACAAACATAAATAATAAGTTAAACTCTTGTTTTCAATTTCGTATAACAATATAGGTTAGTTAGTTTTATTGTGTGGTTTGATGTTTTCCGAAATTCAAATGAACAAACTTTATATATATATATATATATATATATATATATATATATCGCCCCCCTCAGAGCGTCCTTTAGACACTGAGTGTTTTCATACATTACCTACTAATTTGTAAGCTCATGGTGTATACCTGTATTTACTTCAATGCTTACATGATACATATATTTTCTCACATATGCCATGTCATGCTGTCAGCCTGATGATTCAGTCACTTATATGTAAACTTATTTTGTGTAAAACTTACCGAAATTAGAAGCTTTTGATGACAGGATGAAGTTATCGAGAGTCACATCAGACTTCACTTGACATGAAAATTCTAACTTTTATTTGAGTAAATTTGTTTTGCCAATGATAAGTAAAATTGGATAAAAATGCATCTTATGTATTGCCAAACGAAGGGTCATCCTGCTGTCTTTATACCCTTGATTTAGTTCTGTATAAATTTGGCAGCCTACTAGTACTTGAGATGTAGTTTTGATATATTTTCATATATCTATACAGTGTTTGCTCAATTTCCATGACTTTTATTTTAGTATCAATTTCTAATGTGATAATAGATTGAAAGATATCATATATCATTGATAAACTGAGACAAACAGTTGAATGTTCTAAAAGTGGGTGATATAATAGTTTACGAAATAAAAAATTGACTGTTCACTGAGTAGTAAAAACTGTCATCTCTGTCATTTCCTCTAGTCCTAACATACCTCCGTTGATTAAATTGCAGTTTGGCCACTAGTTGAAATCACTCAACGTCTCGTGAATAATTTTGATATGTTACGCAGTTGGAGATAGTGAACAGGAAACATCGGAATTAAGTTTCATGCTAGTTGACACTCCCCAGCAAGGTATATCTGTAGTTGTTTAGTAAATTGTAGACATCTCGGTCCTATGAGAGATCGGTTACTGCCTAAATAGATCGGCAGTAATATTTTATGCTATGAAAATGGTCGACTCGGTTTCGATTCAGCTAGAGAGCATCAATCCTCTCGACAATGCATCGACACCTACTAGGCACGAATGTTCGGGGATTCTTGTAAAGTTCTTCTAACCGCCTGATATTTATACACCTTATCCAAAAATAGGCTGCATGTCTTTTAAAATTAAAAAACTACAGATTCTCCCTTATAAGTTCTTACAGTTTTATTAACGACACATTAATCTGAAACGGTTTCCCTATTTTACATTATAATACACTAAGAGATCTGCTGAAAATATATTTAAAGTTTAGTTGCTTATCATATAGTGGCCTGTTTTCTTTATCTATAACTCAATAAAACTTAAATAGAATGTATAATAATTTACAGCTGCTAAGCATAATCAATACACTTTAACTTTCTTCCTACTCTACTTCTTCAGAGAAATGAATTCAAAGGCACACCACACTTAAATTGAAAACAATCTGGAAGCTAATAATGAAAATCACTAAGCTATGATACATTTATTTCATGTGATTATTTTATGAATATATATTACTAGAATTATAGAGAAGATTTGAAGCTCAGGCAGATGGTTTTGCTGGTGTTTGGA